CATTCAGGCTTGTAGTTTTCAAGAAGAAGTCGAAAAAGTAAAACATTGACACGAACGACGGACGACGGACGATGACGGACGACGACGATGGACGACGACGGACAATCACTCATATGATAATATACATTTTATACATACATACGTTTTCTATTCAATGGTGATGTAATTGTCTCAGAGCCTCCATGACTTACAATTCATAATATCACATTATTTTTTTTTCTAACTGGTTGAAGCAAAAACTGAAAGGTCACACACCGAAGTAATGGTTTGCACACATGACATACCACAGCTGATATACATGCTCACTTGTGTAGCTGTTACACTTAACTATATAATACATAAGGGTTACTTGATCACAAATATTTTTATAATCAACATTAATCTAATTAACCATTTATAAGATAAAAAATCATACTTACCGGGGGAAACCCTTACGCTGAACTCAACTTTCTTCTTCAATGTGATGCAAATGATTAAATATTTAGTGTTCATTTGGTGGCGCACTATGAATGGGATGGTGCCTGTCACTGGTAGCATAGTGCCTGTCGCATCAGACCCATGATTCGTAGACCCAAATCCCACCTCAGACTGAACATCAAATGGGTCAACCCATACCCTGGATGAGTGTGCCACAGACACAATGGGAAGGCCAATTCCACTGGCCAAGATTCATTCACTAACGAATGCGACTTTGGGGGGAACTTTGGTTAAGGTCCGCATGTGCTTGTGTTTGTCCGAGCTTTGTTGACGCCAGGATAGCGCATTCAATTTGATAGGAAGATGACCGCACAGCCCATGTAGTTCCAAATATGAATATGACTTCTGTGGCAAAAATGCACTGTGTCAGCACGAGAACTTGGAATTTGCACATACAAAAACAATGTCAGAAGAGACAACAGTGACATTCAATGCCCGGAACTATCGCCTGGCAATATGTCGCATACGACTTGTTTACCACTTCCGTGTCACTGAGAATGTTCTAGAAACGTACTGTGTCTGGGTAGAATATTCTAGATTTTTTAGGAACTTGTTGAATAGGTAATAGAACACTGTAGAAGGT